CATACCAGAAGCCAGAATGCTGGCATTTGTTAGTCAAGCCTGGAAAGAAAGGATGAGTAGGAGATATCTAAATATATTTCAGGGAAGTATTTTTAGGTGAAATGCTTTCCAGTTGATAAAATGGAACAGGTTTCTTAGATTTGGCATTAAGGAGCCCTGGATTTTTTTTTTTCCCTTAACTGTTTCTCATGTGGATGGTGTTAGCACTTACTGGGGAATGATCTGAGGATATAAGGTGTGGGATGGGAGGTGAAACAGGGAACGAGAAACACAACAAAGGGTACGTTCTTCAGCGTGCTGTGGATGTCCGAGAGAGTGTGGAGCACCCCCAGAACGGACTCTCAGGCATGTCTGGTCTGTGAGCATGTGCACACGGTTCTGTGGTGGCACAACCCGTTGCTGGAAAAAAAATAGGTGCATCTTGTGTGGCTCCACTGGGTGAGGACTTTCAGAAGCTTGTGCCCTTTTCCGTTACTTTGTCCCCTGTACTCTTTCCCTTTGTTGATTCTGCTTTGTATGCTATTGGTGTAATTAATCACAGTCATAAACAACACTATTTGCTGTTTATCACGTCTACTGCCTGGTAGGAGTTTGTGGACACCTTACGCCCAGAGAGTCTACCCAGGAGGTCTCTGCCTCAGTGGGACTAATAGAAGTGGCAGGTGTAATCCGGAAAGGGACATCTGTGGCTTCAAAGATTTCTTTCTTTTTCTCTTGGATGGGTCATTATTTTAATCTGGGTCCTCTAGAAGCACATGCTGCTATAAGTTGCTGAAGGAAATATAGGTAGAGGAGTGGAGAAGTAAGGGAGGGAAGGCAGACAGAGAATGGTATGTTTTCAAGTGAGTTTCCTTTGTGGACAGCTGGAGCTGAAGGCAGGGGGGTGATGCCATGTGCCAAGAGAGTTGGGTGTTTACAATTGCTCCAGAGGGTGTTAATTCCATGGCATTTCCAGCCTGTTATTAAGAGACCGAGCTGGTTCCAAGAGCCAGAGGAAGGCTGGAGGGAGTGAGTGCACGTGCTGGTGTTGGAAGCCACTGCCCAGCATGGGACAGGTGATGTGGGCAGGGCACAAGGCTCAATTACACTCTGGGACCAGAAGAGGAGTCTGGTCACTGTGGCTCTGCCAACCACCTGAGTCATTCCTACCTGCTCTGCCCTTCCATTCCCAGCCAGCCCACCCAAACTCAAAGATGCTGTCCAGGTGATTTCTGACCAGTTCCTGAGTGCTTTGGTCTTGCCCTTGACAATTGCTGTTGTCTCCTGCATGCTGGGCAGGAGTCCTGGTTGTAAGGACTCGGCCAGCTCAACTCACAGTATCGTATTTCAGCCACAGCTTCCGTGGAGAATTTAAATTTGTCCCTTTCCTCTGGTAGCTAAAGCACATAACAGTTCAACTGAGGTTACTACTCCATTGCATCACCGAGGCAGCCGTCAGCCCTAATGAGATAATACCTTCCACGCTTCCTGAGCTCTCTGGGAGACATATACTGCACTGCTCTATTATTTATATGATTCGTTGCAGAGTTGTTTTCTAAACACACACAAATATGCATGTTCAAAAGACTGGAAACATTTTCAACAGAACATTATCTGTCCTTGGATACCCAGGACAAAGGCAGATTTAGTGTTTTTCAGCCTCAGCATTTGGGTGGAGGGAAAGTGATTAGCTGCAAGATCTGTTCTTCCCCTTGAAAATGCATGTCCGTCCGGAAGCTCACGCATGGAAGTCGCCTCCACCACTGGCAGCATCTTCATGTCCCTGATTCCAGCAGAGCAATCAGGGCTATGGTGAAGCTTGCTTCTGTGAAAGTAAAAGCACACTTTTTTTGGTGTTAATACACATTTGATTACCTATTCAGAAACTAGGATTCATGCTCAAAGGAATTTTTGGATTTAGAAAAATTTGAGTCCCAAGTGCTTCTTAGCTTACTAAATGCTGATTGTGTGAGACTGAACAATATTCTAATTCAGAATTGCTGTGAGGGAACTGAGGGCGGCTGTATGTTCCTGTGCAGCTTGTACCCTTCACTATTCTAGAATTCACATTGCAGTTTATGTGAATGATGTCCCTAGAGTTGTTCAGTATGCAACCTGAACAAACACAGTGACAGTTGGGAGCAATTAAAGTCTGGGCATTAAACTGTGAAATATTACAAATACCAAGATATTGACCAGTTAAAAACTACCACAAGTTAGCTTTTAAGATTGTTAGCTCTTTTTTTTTTAAAAAAAATCTTTTAAAATTATAATTTTAACAGATTCAATGGTTGTGCCTGTAATCCCATCTTCCAGGGAGGCTGATGTAGGAGGATTGAAGGTTTGAGGTTACCCTGGGCAACTTAGCAAGATCCTATTTCAAAATAAAAAGGACTTTGGCAATAAATGTTGCTTCTTTTTTGCATATAACATGTTCTTAAAAAGCACTATATATGGAGATAATTTTTATGTTAAATCATGTTTTTTTTCAATTAGTTCTATTAAAATTTCAAGATAGCAGATCTTAAGAAAAAAATCTTTGATTTTAATATGTAATAGATGTGTCACTGGAAAAAACTCAACTCTTGCTTTAAGAGTCTTTTGGTCCTGGGGCTGGGGTTGTTGGCTCAGTGGTAGAGTGCTCGCCTAGTGTGTGTAAGGCCCTGAGTTTGATCCTCAGCACCACATAAAAATAAATAAATAAAGGTATTGTGTCCAATTACAACTAAAAAATAAATATTAAAAAAGAATCTTTTGGTCTTTATCAAGATTTTTTATTTTTATTTCTGTCTTTCCTGGCTTACCCACATCCAGGGATCCCCCAATAGATTCTCCAAATATAATGAGCTCTGTGAGATGTCTTTATCTATCAAGTTTCTGTGTCTGTTCTTGCTCCTGTTACACATCATGCATCTTTGCAAGAAAATCCAGAGTGGGGGCTAAAAGTTGTATAGTATCTTTGGGATACATTCCCAAAGATGCCTGAAACCACATACTGTACTGAACTCTCTCAATACAATGTATTTCCTATACATAAGTACCTGTGATAACATTTAATTTATAAATTAAGCACAGTAATTAGTATTAAAACAACTATAATAACAATGTCCTAAAAGTTTGTGCCTTGGAGCCATTATTAACTAAAATAATGGTTACTTGAACATAAGCACTGGGACACTGCCACAGATCTAATAACTGTGCTTGCTACTAAATAGCTAATCAGAAAGTAGCATATACAATATAGATGCACTGGACAAAGGGATGATTCATGACTCAGACAGAAGGGAATGGAATACCATGAGACATCATTATACTAATCAGAATGGTGTATAATTTAAAACTTATAAATTGTTTATTTCTGGAATTTTCCATTTTATATTTTCAGACCATGATTGACTGAGGTTAACTAAAACTGTGGAAAGCAAAACCCTGGATAAGAGGAGTGACTGTATTCCCAGTAGACACCTTTTGAAAGCACAGATATTTTACCAAGTCTTCCTTTTCCTTCTCTATAGGTCCTAGAGATCAAAGGCATTTGAGAATAAAGCAGTGGGCATAATTCAATACTAAAGGTTTGGAGGGAGAAGATGGATTTAATTCACCAATGCCCACTATGAACCTACCTGTCCTGACAAGAATCTGTGGGGAATAAATGAATAAGACAGTCTCTGCCTCTTTTAAGGAGTTGGTAATTGGTGCTTCAAGAGAGGTCTGCACAGCAGGAACTTGAGGAAGGAGGAAATTCATGTAGAAACCATTCATGGGGCCTCCATTTTCTACCTCAGGGAACTTTCTGGTTAGGTACTATGAATGTGAGAAAGGGTGATCATTTCCTATATAAAAAGCAACAAGACTTTCTTAGTTAAAATCTGGAGTCTGTGAACTACTCTTGTCTCATAATCCTACCCAAGCCACAGAAAAAGGACATTCAGGGAAGGGTGGCAGGTAAACATTGTGGTCTCCATATTCAAGTCAAAACTAGGATGAATTGATCTCCCAGCTAGTAATCTTTCAAATAAATCCTTCAGGTTTTCTTCTCCCCCAAAGAGGAAAATGAGTTATTTTTGTCCCACTCTTTTGTTATGTTTTTTAAAATGCACAGTCTTGTTTACATTCTTAAATAAAACACTTCTAAATCGTTCACTCCTGTTCCCATTAAAATGCTTTAGCCACATGAATGGTGAATGACAAGTGCTTTGGGGGTGGTATAAAACTCCTCACCTATGTGTGTTTCCTGCAGGCTTCCAGATGACATATTTAAATAGGCCTATTTTTAAAAAAGTGCTTTTCTCTCCCAAATCTCATGGCAGTAGTTTACCTAAAGTGTTCTTGGCATGTCCATTTTTTTTTTTTTGTACTGGGGGGATTGACCACAGAGGAAATTTATCCCTCAGCTACATCCCCACACTTTTTTTTTTTTTTTTTTTTAAAGACAGTGTCTCACTAAGTTGCTGATACTGGCTTCGAACTCGTAAATGTTTGTCATTAGAATCTGCCTGCTGCTTGGACATATTTTAGGAAAAAAATTTAGCTGAGTTTAAAACACATGATTGTAAATATTCAGTAGGCACTTAAATTATTGTTTCAAAACAGCTTTTGTGAGACGAAGAACATGTTTTTCTGTCAGCTGCTCAATATTTATTTTAACATATTAAACAACCTCAGAAATATTCATTGCACGGAAACCTTTCTGTGTTTGAGTGGATTAAATTTACAAGTTGAATTAATGCTGTAAATTACATTTACATAATTCATTTCCCACTAAAACGGAATTTATTTAGCCTGCATCTCTGCTAATATATGTGTTTAAGGAAAAAGCAGCACCTTTTTTTGTTGCCCACATAGTTAATTTAGTCTAAGTAGAATTTAGAAGGCGTCTCTGTGCTTCTTTGTTACTGGACTCCCTCTTTCCATCGTCCACCATCTGAATTTTACAATTAAATAGCATATATGTGTGTAGTCTCAGGCGAGGAGAAAATCCTGCTAAACAAAACCCAAACCTCCCTCTTTTTGCTTTTCAGATGTTCCATGATGTCCTTACAAATCACCTATTACTTGTATTTTGCTGATTTTGTGTAAAACTGGGGAGAAGGTAAGAGAAGAACAAACTAGGCTGGAGATCACATGGAAACTCTGAAACTCAAGACCAGATGAATCTGAAATGGCAAGGAAGGCAGAAAGAATCAAGAGGGAGAGCACGGACAATGCACACTGGGACCCCAAAGACTGCGAATCTTCTTTCCTTTTGCATTTGCGTCTATTTTCACAGACGAGGGTGAGGGCCTTAATGCATTTGCTGCTGCAATTTCAGGTTTTAGAATGTTTTGAACAATATGCTTCCAATCACGCCAATAATTAGGGGACCCTCATTATCGAGTGTTATGCCTCTTACGATGTTACTGGCAGAGAGGGGACATTGGCTTCACCTTGTGAGGCTTGGTTTTGTGTGACTGGCACAGAAACAGGCATTGTTCACCTCAATTTCTCCCCTCTTTTTCCAGGATCCTATTAAACCTCTTTGTTAGGAGACCCAGCTGCTTGTTTTCTCTCAAGATAATGACTGAAAAATGCGCTTTTAAAAAATCACGGGGAACATTATTTCTGGAAGGTCTGTCTCTTCATCTTTTTTGCTGTCATCTGGCTGATGATGATTTTCAATAATCCCATGCTAATAAAAATTTATTTGAACACATAGACCCAATATGGAGCTTAAATCACCATGGAAACCATACACCACTGCTTTCTTTTTGCCTGTATGGGGATTCCTCTTTTCTTTCTTTTTTACTTCTCCAAAAACTATTTTCAAAAATTATATACAACATAATGTACAGATTTTAAGTGTACAGTTTTCTAAGTTTAGACGAATGTGTTTTCCCACATCATCATCATCCCCACCGAAATACAGAACGTTTTCTTTAGCCCAGAAAGTTTCCTTATCCCTTGCCCCAGTCGATCCCTGTCTGGAAAAGCAACTATGATTTGGATCATTATCACCATAAATTAGTTTTGTCTGTTTTTGTACTTTGCATAAGTGGAATCGTATGGTATATATTCTTTCAGGTCTGGCTTCTTTCACTTAGTATAATATTCTTGAAGTTCATTCATATTCCTGCACATACCAATAGTTTGTTTCTTTTTATTGTTCAGATGTAATTCATTGTATGGGCTTACTACAGTTATCTAGTCTTCTGTGGGTACGAATGTTAATTGTTTCTGTTTTGGGCTATTTTGAACAGAGTTGCCATGAATGTTTATATGTAAGATTTTGTGCAGGTGTTTGTTTTCCTTTCTCTTGTGTAAATATCGAAGTGTACAATTGCTTGGTTATGTGGTAGGTGTATGTTTTACTCTATAAGAAACTGTCTAGGAACTGTCCAAAGTGATTGTCTCTTTTGATTAAAAACAAAAATAAAAACAAAACATGGCTCTGTTAAAGTCTGAATTTGGTCTCTGGTGACTTAGACCATGAGATTAATGGGGAGACTCAGGAAAGGCATGCTCTGCTTGGCTTTTTGACTTACTTTTTTGTTGGACAGTGCTTGGGTTTTGGCAACCAGGAGATTTGAGATATTGGAAACAATGGAAGTGGTTTGGCCTTGATTTTTGCTTTAAGAAAGACCTGGGGAAGTTTGAGGCAAGCATTCTCAGGAAATGAGCTTTCGCATCTATTTCCCTGTAAGCTGTGCATTCTGATGGATTGCTCACTCAGTTGGTGGGACAATGGGGACATCTCCAAGAAGGCCACAGATCTGCAGACTCCATCCTGAAATGGAGCACATCATTCTGCAACAGGAATGTGGCGGCTGTCAACTCTCCATGGTAATAGGGAAGCTCTAGATACAATCAGTTTTTTAATATTTTACAGAACAAAGACAGGGAACTTTTTAAATTGCTGAAGTTTTACTGGACAAATGTTAGGGTTCTTTTTTCACACATATACTACCTACATGCCTTACAAATAGCCGTAAATCAACAGGCTTAGACATCTTGCAATGTTGTTTGTCTGAATCAACTTACCTTGGTATTACTAAATGTTCAAAAAAATGCACTGTCTTTTATTTCTTTCTTTTGTGAAGGTAGATAAGAAGTTAGAAAGCTGGGAATGTGAATAAGGTCCCCTTCCTTTTGGGAGCAGATTATCATAATTATCCAGCAGAGCCCTACTTTAAGTTCAGAGTCCCTGGCCACTTAGTTTTGATAATAGATGTCAGAATCTTTTTGTTATTTCCAGCTTTGTGAATAGATGCCTAGTTTGTATAAAAACAAAGGAGGAACTTAATAAATTGAGTTCTTCTTTCTCTATTCATTCCCCATTCCTGACACCTTCCTCAATTTATGATTCATACTGTTGTATCAGATCCTTATGGATAAATGTATCAATCAGAATGAGAATTTTCAAGAAGATACTTATTAATATCACTTAAAAAGAATCTTCAACTTAACAAGAAGAAAGCACAAAATCCAATTAAAAAATGGACAAAAGACCTGAACAGACCTCACCAAAGAAGATGTACAGATGGTGAATAAGCATATGAAAAGATACTGAACGTTATTTATTGTTAGGAGTCACAAATTAAAACAAAAATTAGGTACCATTATGTATCTTAGAATGGCAAGAATCTATTTCAAAGAAGGAGTGGTGAAAATTCAGAACACTGGCAACACCAAATGCTGATGAGAATATGAAATAACAGGAATGCTCATTCATTATTGTTGGCAATTTGGCAGTTCCTTAAAAACAAAGAAACAACAACAACAACAACAAAAGCCCTAACATACTCTACTATAAGATGTGTAACATGTGACAATCACACTCCTTGGTATTTACCCAGATGAGTTGAAAACTATGTCCACACAAAACCACATGAGGATATTTATATCAGCTTTACTTATAGTTGTCAAAACTTGATTAGTAATCAAGATGTCCCAGAGTAGGGGAATGGGTAAAAACAAGTGCAGTACATCTATACAGTATGTTACTTGGCACTAAAAAGAAATGAACAATGAAGCCATGGAAAAACACAGAGGAACTTTAAATGCACCCAAAGAAGCCAAAAAAGATGCACACTATAGGATTCCAACTATGTGACACTCTGGAAAAGGTAAAACTACGGAGAAAGTAAAATGACCAGTTGTGTTGTCAGGGTTTGAAAGGAGCACAGGGGATTTTCAGTGAAACTATTCTATACAATACTTTGTAGATATATGTCATTATAATTGGCCAAGACCCAGAGAATGTGTAACACCAATGTAAACTATGTAAACTACAGACTTTAGTCAGTAATTATATGTCAGTGCAGGTTTACATACTGTAACAGTCTCTGCTTCTGGCTGCCATAAGGTTAGTAGCCTCTTCCACCATGTACTCCCACCATGAAGAACTATGTAAAACTTTCTTCTTCATAAGTTGATTGTCTCAGGTATTTTGTCACAGTGATGAAAGATGACTAAAACACATACTGCCAAGGCATTGGAGGGTGAGTCTCTTGTCTTCCAATTATCTCTAATATGCCTACTATCCTAGCCTGTTTCTTTGTGAATTTCAAGAGCTAGGAATTTATGGTGAGGCATGAGCCTGTTTAAATAATTTTCTGCCCAGTTAGTATTGTTTTTAGTAAGTAGACAGAACTGTCTATAAACAAGAAAGGAAAATAAGTGAGAATAAAAATGAGAGAAAGAGTGAAAGCCAAGGAGATGTAACTGTCAATGTGGGCATTTGGGAGTCGAGTCAGGTGAACAAGAAGTAACAATCTAAAGCCGACCTGTATTTGACAGATGTGTGTTTTTTAAGGTAACTTTCTTAGTTTTCAGAAAAATGCTGTGAAAGCTGGACAGAGTGGCACATGCCTATGACCCCAGTGACTCAGGAAGCTGAGGCGGGAGGATCATAAGTTTAAGGCCAGTCTCAGTAACTTAGTGAGACTTTGTCTCAAAATGAAATAAAAAAGGTTGGGGATGCAGCTCAGTGGTAGAGCATTTCCAGTACCACATAAACACCAGCGCTTTTGGCTTATTCTTGGGAGGTGTGTGTGTGTGTGTGTGTGAATATTAAAGCTGCTGCTCATGAGTGTCATGAGCTGAGCTATTTTCAAGGTGTTTATGCTGAAGGAAAGGCTAAGAACTGCATTTGGTCACCCCAGATCTGGATTTCACAATGATATAGAGGACCAAATAGCATTTTCTGGGAATACTGTCTTGTTGAAGGACATTGCTACTGTCAATCAATCTTGAAAGGAAACAGGATCTACGACCAGAAAAAGTTTTGGGAGGCAAGTCTTGGACTGGAAAAAGGTGAGATAGGAGAAAGTCTCCTTTCTTGATGCCTTTAGCCTCAAACAGAAAAGCTATTTGAGCCTTCCTCTAAGGGGAAGGTAAGCTAGTCTTTGCTTAAGGAATGTGAATGATCCGGAAGACAAGAGACCTGCAAGGGGGACTCTGTGAATGCTGCAGAACCACATCTGCTATTTATTTCCCCTTTATTGTTAAAATTCTTCTTTGTTAACTCCAAGTCTCCTTCCTCATAATACTCCCTTTAAATGTTATGGCTTGGTTTCTGCATTGGCTGAGAAAAAGTCAGGGAAAGTGCACATTTGGAGTACAGAAAGGGAGAGTGGAAAATAGTAGATGGGAAGAATCAAGTCCCCAAGGACTCTAGGGGACTTTCCCACCAGCAGCCAGAGCTCCCCTGTGGCTGAGGTTGGGATCAGCCATGAAGAGTATAATGGCTGTGAAGCAATTCCATGGTGGGGGGGAAGGTGTCCCAGAAACACTGGTAAAGAAGAAGCTGGTAGAAGAACTGGACTTCCTAGGGTAAAGTAGGTGGGAACTTAAGGTGCTATAATTTTTGAACATAAAGAAATGGGACTTTATTATGCTATGTAGAACTACTGAAGCCTGGACATTTGGGCTATATAACAAGGAACTGAGGTATGGTTGTTGTGGTTCATTCTTGCTCATTTAGAATGGGAATGAGAAATGAGACTGCACTTTCTCCTTGAAAATTGAGAGTAAACTGTGATGGAGAGGAACATTCTGCTTTCATTCTGTAAAATTAGAGACACAATGTAACACTCCACATCTAATTAGCTACAAAACATCCACATCAGTGTTCATGCTCTGAATCTCAATACAGGTGGCTCTATTTGTGCATTTACACTGTCTTCCTGATTACCAAATACCTTAGCAAATAGAACAGCAGATGTTCCCTCTCACAACTTCAATGTGGCATCTGCTCAAATCATTTGTCTCCTCTAACCCATTCAATTGCTAAGCCCCTATATCTGTCCTGACATCTGGGGGCTGGCTCCTTGCCTGCCTAACCAAGCTGAGTAACAGTGAATGATTTCCTGTACTAAGTTGGTATTAAAAAGAGGGAGAGTGAAACAATTATCTCTGCATGCTTCCCTGTCAAGTAAATATTAATTTTACCCATAACTAACCTGGGAGTGATTTTCTTTGGGTGACAGGAGTGATTCATTTATTTTTTATTTACTTACTTCTCTATGCTGATATAAGAAAAATGAACAGATAATATTTGTATGATATCAGTATTTCAAAATTTAGGTCCTCCATGCCATTCTTAACATTGAGGAAAGAGATGGGTGGAAGGCCTTGTAGCTTATCCCTAAGATGGATACCATGGGTTCTTTCTCTCTATATATATATATCCAAGCCATTCCCCATTGAGAGGTGGAGACTAGTCCACCACTATATTTACTCTAGGCTGGCCTGTGACTTGATCCTGACCAAGATATGTGGCAGAAGTGATGCCATCTTACTGCCAAATCATAAGAGACCTGCAGCTTGCATTGACTCTCTTAGAATATTCACTCTTGGGGGAATCCAGGGACTATGTAACAGTCCAATTACCTTGAGACCACCATGCTGTCAGGAATCCCAGTCTTTCCATGTGGAGAGGCTATTTGAAGACAGATGCTCAAGGAGCTTCCAGCTTTTCCAGCTCATTCAACAGGCATGTGAGAGAAGACACCTTCAAATGACTTAAGTTGCAGCTGCGATCTGTAACCAGGTGAGGGACCACAGAGAACACCACACTACTGAGCTCACAATCCCCAGTACCACGAGCAGCCATAGCACATAGTTGTTTTACTCTACTAAGTTTTGGGAATGGTTTATTTTGCAACAACACGTCACTGGAATGACTGGACTAAAAAACTTAATGGGTTGTAGTTTGTAGTTAGTTGAAATTCTTAGTCTTGTGTTAATTTTCATGATAAGGGGGGGGGCTATCTTGAAGAAATGCCATGATTTATGTTTTAGAACATTTCAGAATATTATTTGGCTGGAGAGCAATGAATCAATTCATTTTATGCTTGGAATATACCCATATATAGAATATATGGGTATATTCTTATCCATTCTAGGTAAGTGCTCTGCCACTGAGCTACATCCCAGTCATTCATAAATATATGTTG